TAATTTTAAAAATATAATTATAAAATAAAATTAATATATAAACTACCTGTTGATGTCGATGCAATTTCGTGTTTTTCTGTCTGTTTAACCTTTTGTTTTTCTAAAGACAATTTACGAAATTCAAGATCGGTTAATTTTAAATCTTTACTCATCATGCATCCATGACGTCCTTTTTCACGTTGTTTTATTAAAAATAGCTTATCTTCATGAATTGTTATAATATTTAATGCATTGATATGCGCAATGTCAAATAAGTCATTTAAATTGTCATCAAATGTATTCATAATTTTTTTTTTGTGTATCCGTTTTTCTATTTTCATTTCTATCTAATTTTTTCCATTCTTCATAGACTTTTTTAATTTTTGTTACGCAATTTGATCGATCTTGAATGGGTATACGTGCTTTTATCCAAAAAAATTTGACATTCATCAAACACAAGACTAGCGCTATCGTGTAATGTTAGTTTAACTGTAAAAGAGAACCCTCAAAATATCTCTTTTTGATGGAAGCTTACTACCGGTTATTTGATTTTTCATAACACCTACCAAGAAAATTAACTGTCTTGACATAATTAAATGTGTAAATTAAAATGTATACTAAATGTAAAAACAATATTAAACAATATTTTAGAATAACACTACTACAATCACTATACGTTTAACCACACCGCTGTACACTCAGTGAATAACAGAAAATTAAACATGTTGGCTAATTTCATTTAAGTAATAGGTATTTAATGACACCGATATTGATAATGATAAAGTAATGTGGTCATAAATCGTTTTCAACACATAGTTATAGCCAAACAAATATCTTTATTACTGAAAATGCTTACAAGTCTACTATATCTTCTATCGATTTGCTAAAGATAATTATTTCCGAAATTATTATTATTATATTATATAATCCAAATATTACTACAATACAAAGGTCACTTCACTACAAGTTTTGCAAAATAAATAAAATATTTCGTACTTTACTATTTTTCTTGGAAAATAACAGACTTACGACAAATTTTGCAAATATATTTTTATGAGGAATAATAAAATATATAATTAACCTTCTATACATTTTCCGCTAAGTACTATAGTTTTGGAGTTAAATTAAAAAATTAAAAAAACTATAAAACTACAAAACTACCCTCTATGGCAAATGTTCAACCCTCTTGGTGGCACGGGAAGGGGTGAGTCATTATAACCAAATTTAGCCTAAATAACTTACTCATTGTAATGAACAAAATGGCGGGTACCTGGCTAAAAAATATTTAAAAAAAATTCTTCTTCTATAACTAAGAACCACCCACCCTATTATTCAGTTTATAAAACTGAAGAAAATTCACTGACCAAGGTTTGCCCAAAATTGACCAAGCAACATTTTGATTTAAATAGTTTAAGCAAAATGAAAGTTAAATATGCTGTACAGGTTTCTTTTTTTACCTTTTCTAATCTCACTTGTTTATTGCCTTTAACCCACATTTCTACTATCCGTTTAACCTTTAACGACACCCAGGCATACATTGTGCATGTAATCTAATACAAAAATGTCCTATATATTAATTTTTAGGCTTATCAATGGACTGTCACCTTTGTGGTAATCCTCATCTGTCTTATCTCTAAAAGTCTCATTTGATTTCCAAAAATTTAGCATCCCTAATGAGGGTACTCCCTTCCGTCCATAGCATTACGTGAGTCGTTGTCTCTAACCGTGATTTTAAAAGTAGGAGCGGCAAGCACGGCGCACATTATTAAAATGGCAAAAATAATTTATTACAATGACCAATTTCAACGTTTTTCCGGATACCCTAAAAACACCTGGAAATTAATAAAAGATTTAACTAATAAACCAAATCCTGATAATGATATTATAAAACGCTTAAAATATAATGGTAACCTTATTGATGTACAAAAAGAACCTTTAACTGCGTCTAATAATTTAAATATGTTTTTTTCCACTATTGGACAGAATCTAGCAAATAACATGAATAAATGTGTCGATGAAGTTTCGGGTGAGACTTCACCAGGGATATATTTCAACAATTTATTCTTGGGTAAAAATAAATTTGATTGAAATTATGAATATAATAGAACATTTTAAAGACGAAGAAGCCTGTGGTTTTGATAAAATTAATGTCAACATTTTGAAAAACATAGCACCTTATATGGTAAATGTAAATTGTAATATTAAAAATATACATAATATAAAGGTAGTTATTACCAACACCAAATGTAAATTACCTAAATATAAACATTATTTTTACATGTTTATCCACGAAGTTTATACTAAAATACACGTTAATCTAGTTCTAAATGGAGCGCAATGTTGGACTTAAAGGAAAAGTGACGAGTCAAAACTTAGGGTTTTTGAAAGAAAAATATTAAGAAGGATATATGGACCATGCCGTGACCCGAAAACAGGTGAATGGCGTAAAAGACACAATGAGGAGTTATATGACCTGTATAACAGACCGGATATAGGAAAGGAGATACAAAGAAGAAGATTGGAATGGGCAGGTCATGCATGGAGGAAACTTGATGCTATGACAAAGACGGTCTTACAAGACAATCCAAGAGGGAAAAGACCATTAGGAAAACTCGGGGTCTGGCGATAGGAGGATTGTGTCAAAAAAGATGTAACAGCTGTCTACCCTGAGGAAGATTGGCATATGCTAGAGCAAAATCGTGAAAGATGGAGACAGTTATGTTTGGATGTGTGGTCTAAAAGGCCGTAAACAAAAAAAAAAAAAATATATACGTATTTTAAACGTAATTTATACGTTGCTAACTACATAAATATACTCGTATATACACCAATTATAAACATAATTTTTTCCACTAATATATACTTACCTATTTAAAACGTTGAATATACTTTAGAATTTACGTTTATTATATATACACAAAATATCCCAAAAATATCCATGATTTCTACTTATCATCAACTAAATATATTCGTTTATTATACGTAACTTAGATTATGTGTATCCGTATATTAAACGTTTATTATATGTATATTTGTTTACTGGGTATAATGGCTTTCCTATCCGGTACAAAATTGTCACTAGTCAGGCCAATAATAAGTGCTCGAAACGAAGGTTTTTCACATGTTGATGTCGGCTTCATCTCTTTTACATTATAGTTGAAAACCAATCCAGTAACCTGAAATCATTTTATAATATTTATTTGTGAAATAATAATAAACCAAAAAAAAATGATATAAAAGTTGTAATTTTGTAACTTTTAAATAGTTACATAGTTGAATTCCATTTATTAAAATTTTAAATTAAATGTAATAGCAAATGAATATAACGTGACATATTATGTTTTTACATTTTAAATATATTAATTACAAATTTATGGATGGATCGGAAACATGGCCAATTAGAAAAATGGACGAGCATAGATTCGTGGTCTTTGAAAGAAAAGTGTTGCGGAAAATATATGGCCCCGTCAAAGACGAAATAACTGGGGAGTGGAGACGAAGAAAGAAGATAGAGCTGGAAATACTGTATGTCTGTATGGTAGTGCGGACATATTGGAGGTCATCAGAAGCAGAAGACTACGGTGGGCTGGCCACGCTTGGAGGAGCCAAAATCTACTTTTACATGCAGTGATTGAACAAAACCCTACAGGTAAAAGGCCTCTGGGAAGACCAAGAATGCGATGGGAAGATGTTGTAAAAAAGGAGGTTGTTCCAATTGGAGAAATCTAGCATTGGATAGAGAAGGATGAAAGCTTGGTTGTGAGACGGGATGATCTTAAAGGCCCAATAAACCAAAAAAAAAAAAAAAAATTACAAATTTAATTACAAATTTAATTTATTTTACGTAATTATTAAAAAACACGTAATAAATAAATATCTTCAATTAACTTTTGAGATTTTATAGAATTTTAAATAATGTAATATAAAGAACCATACTTATTAGTTATTACATATTAGTTTATATGAACGAAAGCTGACTTAAGTATGTACCTACCCTACTTAAATAGGTACCTATAATAATTTAAAATTAACTGAATACAATTAATAAAGTAAGGACACAAATATGAACTTTTTAAATAATATGGTATATAGTATACATTATTTATATTAGGCATTTAGAAATATCATATTTTTGTTCTTACTTTAATTGTATTCAGTACATTTTAAATTACAATAAGTAGGTACTTATAACTTATAAGATCTCATAAGTTCACTGGAAATATTTTTTTATTAAAATTCATACAATTGTAGTCTGTTGGTAGGTACTACACTTCTACACTACTGCATTTTTTAAAAGTTGCATAGAATAAATTAAATTTATAAATATACTTAAAATTTAAAATTATAGGTAATAGATATGTTCTATTAATTTTCTATTACATTTAATTTGAAATTTGAATAAAAAGAATTCAATAGGTAATTTGTAGTAAGCATGTTCTATTAATTTTCTATTACATATAATTTGAAATTTAAATAAATAGAATTATATTAATAATATTTATGTATACGTATAGTCATCATAGTAATTAACTAATTCTTTGAGAGTTAATTAATAGGTGATGCTAATATGCAAATGTATACCTTTTCTTTTGAACATTTCCTCTTGAATCCTGAGTTTTCAGTAGAATGACATATTGATAATTGTGTTTGTATTGGTTTTGACTGTCTTAACACACTGTTAGAAGTAGATTTCTCTATTTTATATGCCTTCAATTCAGTCATCAAACCCGGATGCACATGATATGAAAATATTCAAGAGTATTATTTTATTTAAATTTAAATTATTCAGTAAAATCAGTTATAATGGTAGGTACTATAATAGACTATAGCAGAACCTACACTATCTACACCAAAAAAATAACCAATACTAAAACTACCCATTTTCCTAAAAATCAAACACATTACACTTATAAATATTAATAGGCAAAATAACAAAACAAATACAAAGTTTTACCTAACTCATGGCAGTTAAATACTATTTAATATGCACAGAATATTATATATATTATATTATTAATTATTTATAATAAAAATTCTAGTCTCCTTTTTTTATTGGATAGTTCAACCAACACTTCATCAGGAGTAATTGAATCATTTTTGTTGATCGAGAGCATAGCTAGACCATTAAGTCGTCCCTATTAAAATGAACTACAACATTAAATTAAGTTGATTATTATCATTGATACTATTATATAAATTAAACATACCTCAGAAGTAAAGTTGCGTAAGTAAGTTTTTATTCTCTTGAGAGTTGAGAATTTCCTTTCATTAGTGGCAAAAGAAACTGAGTTGCTAATATTTTAAGTAACTTAAAAATATTGGGGTACATGGCTTCATTACATATGTAAATAGCGTCCATTGCATTTTTTGGTTTATCCGTTTCTGATAGAGAGAAGAGAGTTTTCGTTTCCAAAATTTGAACTCATTTTTGAATACCTCATCGCAATTTCCAATATCTTCCAGATCTTCACTATACTGTTTTGTCCTAATCACTTTAAATGTTTTCGTTGCTTGCATATTATATAAATTTATAAAATATATTATACATTGTCCCTTAAAAAAATATGAGCTGTCTTAATATCATTTAGTAGGTATGCTTCTTATTCCTTATACTATGTAGTATGCAGTATGCACTCACTCAGTTACTTGAGTAGTTGAGCCCCTTACTGTTAGCTATATGGTGACTAATATAGGGGTGAGGGGTCTGTGTTTATAAGTCATTAACTATTAAAATTGTAATATAAATATATAATAGTATATTTTAGAAGTTTTAATTACCCACAAATAATATTATACATATATAACAAAAATATTCTTCTTTGTTTAAATATTTAATTTCCTCCAAATTTGAACATAAAATAACTATAAAAATATATTCATCGTTCCACTCAGAATCTAAAAAACTGTGTTTTTATATCTTTTAGATTTGTTGGTAACAGAATTAACTACTTTCGTGGAAATTGTTTACATTTTCAATCCTTAGATATAAAAGTTGAACATTTTATAAATTTTTAACTACAAAATAATTATTAAATTTTAAACTTCATAAATTTTGTCAAAATTCGATCTTTAAATGCTTATAAAAAAAAATTGTGGATATGTATTTTTAATATTTTTCAACTGATAATGTAACAATATATCAGGAGCCTTGTATTAAATTTTTACACTTTATGGACCAACAGATAAAACTTAATTGATATTTATAGAAAAAAAATTTAAAAAATTTAAAACTGACAATGTCCGTAAACAGCCCAAAAAGTTTCAAATTATTTTCAAAATTGTATGGTGTATAGGAAATGCTAGTATAAACATTCAGTGAAATTTTCATGTACCTACAGTTATTCGTTTTTGAATTACAACAAAATAAGGAGACCACTACATGAGAAATCGAGTGAATATCCAATGTTGTAAAAATTGTAATTTCAAAATTTAATTTGACTTTCTTAGACATTTTTTTTTTGATAAAGGTAGATAATCTTATAAGGACTCTTGTATTACATTTTCAAATCTTAGATTTAAAAAGAAAATTTTTTACGAATTCTTAACTCAAAATAATTTGCTAATTTTTGTGATTTTTCCATATTTTGTCAATTTTTGAACTTTCAATGCTTATAAAAAAAAAATGTGACTAAGGATTTTTAATATTTTTCATCTGCCTTTGAAACAATATACTAGGAGCCTTCGATTAAATTTTCAAGCTTTCGCAACCAACAAACAAAATTTTATTGATATTTTTAGAAAAAGAAACTAAAAACAAATGGAAAATGAAAATGTCCCTAAACAGTTCAAAATAAATCAAAATATTTTGAAAATGTTATCGTGTATATGAAATGCAAATATAAACAACAACTGAAAATGTCATGTATATAAGTTCATTTTTTTTAGAGTTACACCTTGGTACCAATTATTGATATAATTCAAATGAACGTATATACATGAAATTTTCACTGGTTGTTTATATTTGCATTTTCTATACACGATAACATTTTCAAAATATTTTAATTTATTTTGAACTGTTTAGGGACATTTTCATTTTCCATTTGTTTTTAGTTTTTTTTCTAAAAATATCAATAAAATTTTGTTTGTTGGTTGCGAAAGCTTAAAAATTTAATCGAAGGCTCCTAGTATATTGTTTCAAAGGCAGATGAAAAATATTAAAAATCCTTAGTCACAATTTTTTTTTATAAGCATTTAAAGTTCAAAAATTGACAAAATATGGAAAAATCACGAAAATTAGCAAATTATTTTGAGTTAAGAATTCGTAAAATTTTTTTTTTTAAATCTAAGATTTGAAAATGTAATACAAGATTCCTTATAAGATCTATCTACCTTTATCAAAATAAAAATGTCTATAAGAAAGTCAAATTAAATTTTTATGAGCGTTTGAAATTCAAATTTTTACAACATTGGATATATTCACTCGATTTCTCATGTAGCGATTTCCTTATTTTGTTGTAATTCAAAAACGAATACTTGTAGATACATGAAAATTTCACTCAATGTTCATATTAGCATTTTCTATACACTGTACAATTTTGAAAATATTTTGACTTTTTTTGAGCTGTTTACGGACATTTTCAGTTTTCAATTTTTTTAGTTTTTTTTTCTATAAATATCAATAAAGTTTTATCTGTTGAGCCAAAAAGTGTAAAATGTAATACAAGACTCCTGATATATTGTTACAATATCAGTTCCAAAACATTGAAAATACATAGGCACAATTTTTTTTTATAAGCATTTAAAGTTGAAATTTCGACAAAATTTATCAAAATCTCGAAAATTATCAATCATTGTAATTAATAAATTATAAAATGTTCAGTTTTCATAGCTAAGGATTGCAAATTTAAAGTAAAGGTTCTCATAAATAGTTCATACTGTAACCAAAAAATCTAAAAAATATATGAACACAGTTATTTTTTACAGACATTTTAAATTCAAATTTGGACGAAATTACATAATAAAAAACCTATGATAACTATTTTAGTTATTTTGTTGTGATTGTATAATATTTTTCGTGGGTACTTGAAACTTCTAAAGTATACTACTATATATCTATGATAGTATCAGGGTATGTTGTTGGTGTATAACGCGTTATAAGTACTTAATAGATATTGTGATAAGATTAATTTGGAATTCATTATAGGTCAATTTTTTTTGAATACCATAGAAATAGATAATAGTAGGTATATAATATGTCTTATATCTAGAAGGACATACCGTCTCCGCTCAGAATCGCTTTGCTTATACAATGATATAATATCATTGAATTCAAATGTAATACTATTTATTATACAGTGACCCACTTGTAACCTACTGTACAGCAGAGCGACACCCACTTGCCCACCTTTTTTTTTTCATGTTCCCGATGTTTTACTGAAGGTGAATTTTTAAATAGATGGTGTGTTTTCCTGAAATTAATTTCCGCAATAGAACACACAATAGTTTTGTGATTAAAGAACAAGAAAGATATCACATGTGTTCTAATTTGTCTATTCTCACTAATATTCCAGGTATAAATATTATGAACGATTTTTCCCTCGACTATATGCACTTGGTGTAGTTAAAAAAAATGATTAATTTACGGTTTAAAGGACCATTGAATAATAGGTTAAATAGCACCAAAAGTAAAATGCTCAGTAATTATTTACTGTCACTTAAAGGTTGTGTAACTAACGACTTTCAAAGAAAATCACGAGTTATTGATCAAGTTTGTAGGTGGAAGGCTACAGAGTTCCGAACATTTTTGCTTTATTTGGGTCCCGTAGTGCTAAAAAATATAATTAATGAAAAATTGTATTTACATTTTTTGTGTTTAGATACAAGCTTGTGAATTTTTCTTAGACCTAACTGCAAATCACGTCTTTTAGATTTCAGTAAACAGTTATTGCATTTTTTCGTTAAGGATTTTGCGACAATTTATTGAAACGAATGGATCTCTCATAACGTCCACGCATTGCAACACATCAGTGATGACTACATTCGTTTTGGTCCTCTAGATAATTGTAGCGCATTCACTTTTGAAAACTATATGAAAGTCCTCAAAAAATATGTAAGAAAAAGCCACCAACCGTTACAACAAGCAGTAAAACGGTACAATGAATCTACAACTTATAGATTGAAATCTGACATAAATAAAAATAGTTCAAATAATTCATTCATATGTAAAAATAGTCATACCAATGGACCATTAGTTAACGAATTCACCCCATACTCGGGTATACAATATAAAACAATGATTTTTAATAACTTTGAAATTAAAATAAATCATTAAAGTGTAACAATTGGTATTGTTAAATTTAGGTTAGTACCTATATTATTGGTAGTATACCTATTAAGTAGGTATTTGTATTTGTAATTTATTTCAAACATATGTACCTACCTACTACCTATTATTTATGTTATTATGTTTATTGCTGTTATTATTATTATTATTATTATTATGTTTACTTACTTATCTCATTATTTAATTATTATTAAATTTAATAACTGGAATTTATTGTTTATGTTAATGTTTTAATTTAAGTACTTACCTATGTATTTCAACTGTACCTATACATAAATAATGTATTTTGATTTATATAATATAGGTTTATGTACCTGTTGGATACCAAATTCGTTATATTCAAATTTCGCGCGACGCGTCCGGCACGTCCGTGTCGCAATGTTTGTCACCCTGTTGCTCAGCCGTCGACGCTACGCGGTTGAACTTTGTACCCCCGGAGAGGGGACGGCCGTCGTTCTTCCAGCGGTCGGCCGCCGCCGCTTGTCTTTTGTCGTTTCCGAGCCGTCTTGGCGATTGTATTGTTTTTCGTCGCGATCCGGTGTCACGCCGCCGTCAACACGCCATTTTTATGCGTTCCGTGAACCCGAGCTTCGTTGCTCATGAACTCGTCGCGAACGCCAGTTTTCCGCGATTCGAGTTTTCGGCCGCCCGTGCCGACACCACGGCTTATTTTGTTTTGTTTCGTCGCCCGCCCGATCTAATCGCTGTGCGACCCCGAGCCGTGGTCACCCACGTGTCCACGTGGTTCCGTCCGTCCGCCTTGTCGCAGTGCGAAACCGCGATCTATTTAATTGTTGTATCGTTCGACCGCTTGTGTCGGGATACAACCCTATTTTGTGTCTTTTCGTCGCTCGCCCGACTCGCTGCGCGTTTCGAGCCCTGCTCGTTCACGCGCCCACGTGTTTCCGCCCGCCCGTCCTACGCAGTGCGAACCGTGGTTAACCTCGTTTTGTCGTCTTTTGTGCCGCGTCTCTACGCCCAGACAACTGATGGTCACGCGAGACCGTTTCGCGATCCCCTTCTAACAGGAAGACGAGTTTGTGTCCGCGTCGTCCATTATTTCGGAGTACCTCCCCTTCACCGTCGCTCATCAGCCGTGCGTACGCAGTGTCGTCGATCAATTCGACGAGAGCACAAGTGTCGCCGTCAGGTCAACACCCGCAACCGGTATCGACGTCGCACTGGGTCAACAGCAGCATCGTCGTCGCGGTATCAATCCGCGTTATCATACCAG